CAAGTCCCTCCCATGCCGGTCTGTTAAGGCCCCACACTGACCTCTAAGGGCCCATGCTGGCCTGTAAGGACACGCATTAGTCTCTGAGGGCCTTGCACTGGATTCTGAAGACCCGATGCTGGCCTCTGAGGCCCATCTTGGTTTTTGAGGGTCTTCTGCTGGCCTCTGGGGTCCAACACCGGCCCATGCCGGCATTTTAGGGTCCCACACTGACCTCTGAGGGCCCATACTGGCCTGTAAGGACCCACATTAGCCTCTGATGGCCCAAGTCGGCATCTTAAGGTCTCATCCTGCCCTTTGCAGGCCCTGTACTGGTCTCTGAGGGCCTTAACCCTCGCCAGCCGGGGGGGGGGGGGTGCCGCCCCTCCATAGTTTTTTTTCGCGATAGCTCCGAACACGCCGGCGATAGAGAGCTGAAGCTTGGCATACCTGACCTTTGAATCAAACGGGATCTTTTGACACCAACCGCATTTTCGGGTCAGATCAGGTCACTGACCCATGTGGTCATAAGTGAACCTCTGCACGGTCTTCAGATGTCGCAACTTCGCAACGCCCTCACTGCCAGAGGAGATTTCACAGGGAAATGAACCTTGGAGGACCTAGTATCCAATAGGAGTCTTTCAACTTGTATAATGTATATCTCGGATTTTTCCTTAAGTTCATATGAGGTCAGGTCATTTTCGTGACCTCACCATTAGGTGAGGTCAATGGGGATAAACTGAAAACTTTTTCTGGCGCCGGGAATGATCGATCTCCAACTATCTCAAGCACACCGAATCGTGATTTCATGCACTCCTTGCAAGGTTCGATGCGTCACTTTTGCAATGTTGACCTTGCGCGACGTCATTTATGAAGTTATAAGGGTCTTATTAGTTTTTCGTCAATAACTAGGTACCGATCAAATTGAGCTAGCGAGTCGGGAAAGCCACCTATGGACTCAAGAAGACCTGCCGAATCGAATGATATGCGACATGACCTCCTTCGACCAATTTCGTGACCTGGGGACGCCGACCTGACCGTGACCCGAGGTCAACACCCTAAGTTTACCTCACCCAAACAAAAAGTATATCATTCGACGCGCCTGACAGAGGCGAACACGATGCTGGCAAAATCGCGGCTCTGCGGCCATTTTTTGCGAAGTTATTCACCAAAAACGGAACCGTGCCTTGAGGCACTTGACCTGACCTCAGAGGTCACCGGTTTTTGTTTGTTTTGTTGGGTTAGGCCCTTTCGGTCCAATGAGACCATTTCAGAGCCGGAAGGATGATAGGATATAGGGGGAGACATTGGTCTGGGCAGGCACCCTAGTGAGTCGCCGGGGCTGAGCCCGTCCAGAGGACAGGCCACCCAGCCCCAAGGCACTCAGTGCACCCGGCTACGGGGTGCGCTCCCTCGGGAGCAGCGGTGCCGCTCCAAGGGAGCAGCCCGCATGAGATAAAGTTGCCTGTCCAGCCCGGAGGGGGTTGCGGTGTGGAGGAGAAGGATTTCAGTATCCTGAGGATAGAAGCACGGAACGGTGTCAGAGGTCACCGGTTGACCTAGGACCATAAAATCGGGTATCGATCTCTGCGTCCCGTAACGGCGCACACGCTCGTTTTACCGCGACGCGCTAGCTCCACCTGGGGCGAAACGGCGAGGGGGTCGTACCCGCCGGCCCGCCCCTTCGGCCAGCGCGTATGTAGAAAACCTATAGGACCGGGCCGTGGAGGGTTAAACTGGCCTCTGAAGGCCCAGACCGTCTAAAAATCCCACACCGGCCTCTGATAAGTGATAGTCAATCAGCCCAGTTGCAGTGGTCGCTGATATAAAACCTCTTAAAAACGTTATAGGCCTGGCTGAGCCTAGCTGGGCCGTTCATGCTGATTTTTATAGGTATATTGAAAAGACTCGCTTTGCACGTTTCACGCTTGCTCGTAATGAAAAAGTTGCTGGATGCCTCTGGAATTTGCATGGGTGCCAACGGCTGCGGAGGTCAGGGGAACGCGTCCATCAGTTTGAGCTTATGGACGGGAGACTCCCTGAAATTTCAACCAATTTTTTTTCTTTTTTTGTCTCGATTTTTTTTTTTTACCTCTGAGCATGTTTGCGAAAACAAAGTGGCCGAAATCCGAGGAGAAATCGGATTTTGGGGGTAGGTTAGGTTTTGGACCTCTGGGACCCTGGCCCCCCCACTTTCGAGAACGTTCCTACGCCTATGTGAGCAATGGCCAATGACCTACATATTATTTCTAATGCATGGTTAAATTACTGATAATGAATGTCGTGAGGTGTCAAAAAGACGAAAAAATTCGTGTTTTTCATAACCGAAGGTTTGTTGTCAATAGTTAAAACACTATTCGTTAGAGTTGTGTTTTTCTATAAAAAAAAAAACAAATATGAGTTCCCTGACAATTTTGCAAAAGCTGCCTGGGATCAGTAAGCTTACGTCCGTCCCTACACCAAAAGTCACCAAGAACAAGGAGGTCATTCCATGTGCGATCAGTCCTTGTCTCGTTTCCTTCTGTCTATTTACTCCTGACGCTCTCCAAACAAGACCTAATAGACGCATGGAACGAGAGAATGTCTCGCTGTCTGTTTACCAGCCTCTCCCTTCTCCGTGCATCGATCTCATTCTCCGTACTCTTCTGCATCTACATTGGTTATAAGCACCCTTACGTCGTCCTTGAACATGTTGTAAGACCTTAGGTACACATCAACAGATCGCAAAATATTTCAGAATTCAGATACATGGCTATAATGAAGCATGTTGCCTCATTAGCATAGCAGAAGAGGTAAGCCACAACGTAGGTATACCATTTACCCGAGAAAATCTTGTTTTCGAATGGTCCTCCGAACTTTCGCACCAAGTGACCCACGTTCTAGAGGGGTTTCACCACCATGACGTAATGCCATCGACCACGCCCTTTTGCCAGTCACGACCACGGCCCCTTCAGCGCCGTCCCGCGTCGGGAGCGTCGTCTTCGACCGTCGTCGACGCCGTCTGGTCTGTCGAGACCGGCCTGCTGACGTGACGTCACCGGCTGTAAACGTCATTGACGTCACTATCTGTAACACTAATGGTGATTGGTTTTAGAGTAATGCTTGCTGTTGTTCACAGTATTGGACACTCGGAGACACGCTCGGTCTGCATTGGCAAATCGGTTAGGCTTTCCCGAGAAGGCAAACTTGCCTGGGTATCACATGGCATTCTGCTGAACTTGGTAGGGTATTTATGTTCACTTAAGACAATGAATCCAACGAAACTAACTATAGGATTACTTTGACCATCGAGATGGAATATTTCCAGGAGTATCGTCTAAAACCGTCCATCATCGAGTTTCATCCGTCATACCCTCGTCATCCTCCGTCATCCTCCGTTCGCCACCCCCACCGTCATCGTCATCGGCGCCGCCTCAGCGACCACGTGACTCTGTCGGCGGCCGACGTCCCCGGTCACGTGACCACCTCACGGATGGTCTGCCGTCCGGAACGAAGTGTTCGCGCTTCGAGCGGTGCAGCTGTGACCTGAGGCGTTCCGGTGCTTCCGATGGGCCTACCACGGCCCCCTCCCGCCAGGTGCTTCCAGGGCGCCGCAGGCTATGGAGGAAGTAGGGACAGGATGGGGTGCTGTGGAGTGCTTTATGTGAATTCAGGAGCCAAGTGACTTGTAAGATCATCTCATAGACAACTGCACTGCACCCCACTCTATAGAAGTCTATGCATCTGAAATTCATCATGGTTTTGTAGTACCGTTTTACCTATGGTTAATACTGGGCGCACATGCATGATTCTTCAGATTTAAATGTTTAAATACACCAAAACGGCATTGAGTTTCAGTTCGTGGCTCCATGGAAATATGACCACCATTCTAGCAGTGGTTCAGCTGAGCTGATCGTTTGTCGACCAATTTTAGGACGAGCTGCAGTCGACCTAGGTCGATCGATGCCAGTTGGCATCGTCGGCAGTTGGGGGGGGGGGGGGGTGCAGGGCCGCCATGGGGTCGGCTGTCGTCACTACCGTCGCTGCCCACTCGCCGGTTATGGCCAAACTCGCCAGCAGCGGTTACAGCCAGACCGAGCGAACTCCAGCCCGGAGGCCCTGACAGACGGCCGCGGCTCGGCGGTCGGGTAGGACGCTCGTCGAAAGGTCAATAGAAGGTCATTGGAAGAATAACTTGCCGACTTAGATGAGCCTATTTGGAACGGAATGTTATTGGCAGTCGCATTTCTGCATTTTGGATGAAAATCCATGTTGCAACTAAATATGGTAGCACTTTCATGACTATGATCCCGATTGGCGGGAACTTGACTTGCTATTTTCTGTAAAATTTATCGCCATATAAACGTCAGACGCCATTTATTGCCCCGTCCCTCAAGGAGACGCTGCAAAGCTATCATGGCCGCTGCCCACCTGGTTAGGCCACTGCACCACCTGAGGCCCGGCCAGCGGCTCCTAGCTGCACCCTTCCCTCTGCCGACCCCAGTCATTACCCCCTCCCCCCCCCACACACACAGGCCCCTCCTCTGCCGGGGTAGGGTGACGGACCGCGCTGTCAGCCCTCACGCACCCTGCGGCCGGCTGTATTGTAACTGAGCGGCCAGACTGTGGTGGGGAGCGCTGATTGGGTGATTGGCCCGCTGTATAAACACACCTGTGTCTCTCCGCACCAGTAATTGGATGATGGATATGGAAGACCGCTAATTACTGGAAATTGTTATTGATTGTGCAATAGTGCGTGCGCATTGTCAATATCAGTGCAGAAAAGAAATGACGCTAGACACAATTACAAGAGCTTTAACAGCAGACGCATAAAAGTTCCTAATAAATTGCAAGTTAGTCATTGTTACAAACGTAATAGTGTTTATGTTCATCGTTGCTTGTCTAGATTGTTTAGACGTAAAGTTACGAATTTACGTAATGAGCACGGCGTGTTAGATCATTCAGTAAACATACAAGCTCAACATTGACATAATGAAGGCGTACCGCAGTTACTAACACTCCCTTTGTGTTTTGTGTTTCAGTTTTTCGAGCTGATCAACGCCAGCGAACTGTTCTCGATCACGCTGAGGCGGGCCGAGGGCACGGTGTTCGCGCCCACAAACGCAGCGCTGCAGAAGGTCCGGGGCAGCGGGGATGTCAACATCCAGTACCACCTGGGTGAGTGTCTGAACTGAGAGCTTCTTCGTGGTATCGACACCTCTACAATCTGCATATTAGCCGTTTTCACGACGGGCTATCTGGCTAATGAACCTAATTTGACCACATCTGCACCAAATCTGCACCTAATCTGCACCAAATGTGTACCATATGGTCGTCGTGAAAGCGGCTAATAGTTGTACTTTTACTAGCTTTATTGTCGCTATAACGAGGGAGGAAGTAACTTTCTAAGGAACGACTGTGCTGAAAATGGATACAATTATTGTTAGCATTTTTAGTTTAGAAGCCCAAGCTCAAGATCAGTGGTTTCAAATTCATCCATTCCGAGATCAAATAAGCCTTTTGATCTAGATAGAACTATGGTTATTTTGACAGAGAGATGAAATGTCATGCATTAGGCCCGTTCCTTGCCAGAAGTTTGCCGTTCAGGCTATAAACTTACCCATGGGAGATTTCATTGAATATGTCGAAATACGGCGCTGTAATGGCTAATGCCGGCCTAGTTAGAAATAAGACAAGGATCTGCAAATTAGAACCAGGCGTGTGAATGTAAATCGACAAGATGTATCTGTCTTCGGCCAGGATTGAGCCTTCTACTCACAAAAAACACACACTCGCTGCAGCAAAATAAGTGTTGTTTGGTGCCGTCAAGATCCTGGTAAAATATGGGAGTAGGTGTATCTAACCAGCTCCTCAGTCATACGGATGTTTCATTATCCAAATCCACACTCCACTATCACCCTAACCATCTACAGTATAGCCAGCATCTGTTCCGCATAGTTACGTGTACCGTATAGGGCTGCTCAGTGCTCAGTATCTGCCCTCAGCCCGCTAGTCTGTGATCCCTGATCTCTTCCCTCACTCACTGATCCATGTTCCATCGTCTCTACCCCCGCTCACCAGCCATATCCACCCACCCACTGGCCCGTGTCCGTCAGTGCTGGCCCACCTGTCCACAGCCGATCGATTCGGTCCGCTCCGCTCTCTGGCTCCGCAGGAAACGACCGTCCAGATTGCTCTGACGCCGCGATGACGCTCACGAGTTTACTGGCGTCACCGTGAAGTACGAAACTTAATCTGACCGTGCCGGCCGGGATATATCGCTGTCTGGCGTAGGTGTGGAGAAAATATGGGAAACTAAGAGACAGACAGGTGTTGTGTCAAGACAGCGTCCAATGAATAGAATGACATGAGTTAATTACCTCATAAAAAGCTCCAGGCGTTTTCCCCATTACTATGCAGGATATCACCGTCTCACCGGGTCCTTATCTGCTTTCCCGCACCGGACTGCCGAGAGCTGTAGTCTCTGGGGGTCGGTAAATACCCCGGCCCTCCCTCGTCGACTCTGCGACCCTCCCCCGTCGACCCCGCGACCCTCCCCCGTCGACCCGGCGTTCACCTACCCCTTGGATCGACCGTGGGCGGCGCCGGCCAGTCGCCGCCGTCCGCCGACATACCGACTGAACTCTGTTTGTTGGAGCTGGACTTATCGATCCTGTACGTCGATGCCGCCCTGAAACAGGCTAGCCGGTTTGCCCTCCGGCCATTGCTGGTCACGTGACCGGTGATGAGGCGAGTGCATTAGGCTGGCTAGCTGCCGACGGCAGTTTATGAAACGTCACGTGGTTATATGTAGTTAGTATGAACCTAGTTACGATAACAAAGAAGTGAAGTGGATTGAATAGGTAATAATTCAGTCTAAGTAACCTTTTAAAAAGGATATTGATGCGTGGCAGACATATGGCCGTCCTCATTCTCCCTTATTATCTAAGCGCAATGGAATATACTGACAGCAAAATGACCAAATGAAAAGTAGGAAAAACCATGCCTAATATAAAAAAGAAAGCATCTGTAGGGCTAGCTCACAGCCATTAGCCGTTTTCACGACGGCCATCTGGTACACATTTGGTGCACATCTGATGTAGATTAGGTGCAGATTTGGTCTAATTAGGTTCAGTGTGTCTCTTAGCTATCAGCTAGCGTTGCACGTATTGCTTATATGCCTACTTTGTCATATTAGCCGTTTTCACGACGGGCTATCCGGCGAGTGCACCTAATTTGACAAAATCTGCACTTAATCTCTTTTACAGCAAATATCTTTATTTTATGAATTTATTTCAGTGTTTTAACCCTCGCATGTGTGCGGCGTTTGCCAGCTTCTAATGTGTAGGGGGGGGGTCGGTTGGACCCCCCCCTTGCCGTTTGGCCCCTGATCGAGCTAGAGCTTCGCGGAAAAAACGAGCGTGTTGCCCGTGACGAGAGGAAGCCGATGATACCCAATTTTAAGGTCCTAGGTCATTGGTTGACCTTCCAGGTCAGGTCAATGACCCAAAGTCGGGAAAATCGGGACCTGTTAGAAAGTCGTAAAGTGTGGCTGCTAAGGGGTTTTTCGGGGTGCTGATCACGAATATCGTGTTAGTTTTGATCACAGATGATGTCTTGAAGCATTTAGACCAGGTCGGGTCAGGTCAGGTCAGGTCAACCAGTAGGCGTCGTGACGGGTATTCGTAATACGTGTCAACCGCCTCTGACAGCTTCGTAACATGTTACGAAGTCACCAAAACTACTTCGTAAATGTTCAAATGGTTGCTAAATTCGAATTCAGCTCCAAAAACTAGCCTAGAAACATGTAAAACTCGAAAAAGTGACCCGAGGTCACCCGAGGTCACCAAAGGTCAATGACCTGACCTGACCTTCAGGTGACCTTGACACACACGGGAGTAACATCAAATCACATGTTTGAACGTTTGAAACCACGAAAAGCTTGCAAACACGCGGCTAGTGCGAGCCGACATACGCGAAATCGCGATTCCGGCCAAACATGGTCTCGGAAAAGAGGTCACAGGTCAAAGGTCATTTGGGTCAGGGTCATGAAATTTTCAGGGTAGGTGTCAAATTGATCAATGCGAGGGTACTGAAAGTTTCGTCGCGATCGGCCGCTTTTTACGCGAGTTATTCGCGAAAAACCATGGGGGGGGGGTCCATCCGACCCCCCCCCTACACATGCGAGGGTTAATCGATGATGCTCTCTGATAATATGACAAAGCATGCATATAAGCAATTAGTACAACCCTAGCTGATAGCTACTAAGTGACACACTGAACCTAATTTGACCAAATCTGCACCTAATCTGCACCAGATGTGCACCAAATGTGTACCCGATGGCCGTCGTGAAAACAGTTATTATCAGAGAGCATCATCGATCAAAAAATAAATGACTGAAATAAATTCATAAAACGAAGATATTATATTTGCTGTAAAAGAGATTAGGTGCAGATTTGGTCAAATTAGGTGCATTCGCCAGATAGCCCGTCGTGCAAAAACGGCTAGTGTTGAGTTATAAGTGTGTTGATATTGCGCGCATCCCAATATAAAACATGCATAAAGTCTGCCCTTCGGCCTTTTCGCTGATCACATGAGTCGTCGATGAACGTGTGTTACCCTTCTATGTTGTATTGCAGTCACCAGCGCCGCCTGGCCAGACGGGGTACGGCGGCGCAGTATCATGTGCGTTGTGGGTATTGCGGCACAGTATTCACTATTCACTGAACAAACAAGCGTTTCTTTCATGCCTTATTGTAAAGGCGGAGGGGATATAATATATAACTGCTGAGTACAGCCCTAATCATTTAAAATTTGTGACTTCGCTGTAAAATCGTTATAAAATCCATATGAAGTTGTTGGGTTCTAGACTGTGTACTGTAGGGTGTGTCATCGAGGGGGTGATTCTCGCAGAATCAAACGCCGTAAGGTTTTTCCTTGGCACATTGATCAATAATGAATTTTCATCCATATCCGAGTCCACCAAAATTAAAATTCGTGCGGCGCCAGCCGTTCAAAGTTTTGGCGCCCGGCGTTGCAGTCTCCAATGCTGAGCGTCACCCAGCACTGCGAGTAACACCAAGTATTGTAGGAGGTAATAATGCAAAATAACTACCGCTGAAAATGATGCTTTTGAGCGCTTCTAAGGCTGATTGTTGCAAAAAAGCATGTCCTTAGAGTGTCCAATTATTCTTTTTATGTATTGTGCTCAATGAATTAAATCGAGCATGGCTTCTGAAACTAAAGAAGACGCTGCCCGATTTTGAGAAGCGGGCGGGGTGGAGGCGGAGACGGCAAGTGACTCAGATTCGTCTTCTGAAAACACCGACTCCGTGGCATCCTCTGGGCGGTGCTTCTTCTTCTTCTTCTTCTTCAGCATGTCATCTCGTGTGACCTGGCCCGTCTCCACCAGGAGGTCCCGGATGAGTCCAGCCTCGGTGGAAAGGATCTCCCTCAGCGTCGGCAAAGGGTCCCACGGGCGGGTCCGTGGCCCCTGGTAGGCGGGGTAGTCGACCAACAGGTGTTTGGCCGAGTCCGGTTCGTCGCAACGGACTTTCTCGTCAGACTCGGCCGGACCGAGTCGGAATCGGGTGTCTCCGGTGAGTGGGGAGCAGCTCACGCGGAGCTGTGCCACTGTGATCGACGCTCGGCGGTCCAGTTCTCTCTCCGTGGCCCAGAGCGCCACATCGTCCGCATTCGCAGATGTGTACCTCCAGTTCCCGAGCCGCAGTTCTAGCCGGTCATACGAGCCTGCAGGGTTAGCGTCCGATGGCTGCGCTGGTCCTTCAGGAAGACAGCCTCCTCCTGAGTGACTGTGGGCGATGAGACTTGTGCACCTGCTCTGAGAGTTGCATTTGCATTTGGCGATATCCAGGAGTTGTTGAATTATGCAGTGGCGGCGCTTTGCTGGTTCCCTGTGTCGTGCTATAATTGTCGTATGGGCATTTCCTAATCAGCTACGTTTTTTTCGCCTCGTGAGTTATGATCCGGATAGCATAGGGCCCTGCCGAAAGTGACACGGCCGCGTACAAAACATTTCGTGATAGGACAGCCGGCACTTTTGTCCCAACAGCGACTGCTGAATAAAGCAGAGGCCTTCAGTTATGTCAGGTGGCTGAGTGCTCAAAGAAGAAATCCAACAAATAGTGCATTTAGGGCCGTGGCGAAAAAAGGACAAGGCAACTCTGAACTAATGAAGGAATCCCTGTTCGCGATCTATGTAAAACACACGACGAAAGTGATCAAAAGGGACTGCTATAAGCCCTACAGACAGCCCTACAGACTTTGAACAAAACACCAGAGACACAGGAAGGAACAAAGCGCCGCCACTGCATAATTCAACAACTCCTAGATATCGCCAAATGCAAATGCAACTCTCAGAGCAGGTGCACAAGTCTCATCGCCCACTGAGTCACTCAGCAGGAGGCTGTCTTCCTGAAGGACCAACGCAGCCATCGGACGCTAACCCTGCAGGCTCGTATGACCGGCTATAACTGCGGCTCGGTAACTGGAGGTACACATCTGCGAATGCGGACGATGTGGCGCTCTGGGCCACGGAGAGAGAACTGGACCGCCGAGCGTCGATCACAGTGGCACAACTCCGCGTGAGCTGCTCCCCACTCACCGGAGACACCCGATTTCGACTCGGTCCGGCCGAGTCTGACGAGAAAGTCCGTTGCGACGAACCGGACTCGGCCAAACACCTGTTTGTCGACTACCCCGCCTACCAGGGGCCACGGACCCGCCCGTGGGGCCCTTTGCCGACGCTGAGGGAGATCCTTTCCACCGAGGCTGGACTCATCCGGGACTTCCTGGTGGAGACGGGCCGGGTCACACGAGATGACATGCTGAAGAAGAAGAAGAAGAAGAAGCACCGCCCAGAGGATGCCACGGAGTCGGTGTTTTCAGAAGACGAATCTGAGTCACTTCCCGTCTCCGCCTCCAGTTCCACCCCGCCCGCTTCTCAAAATCGGGCAGTTTTTTCTTTAGTTTCAGTAGCAATGCTCGATTTAATTCATTGAGCACAATAAAAACAGTAATTGGACACTCTAATGACATGCTTTTTGCAAAAATCAGCCTTAGAAGCGCTCAAAAGCATCATTTTCAGCGGTAGTTATTTTGCATTATTACCTGCTGCAATACTTGGTGTTACTCGCAGTGCTGGGTGACGCTCAGCATTGGAGACTGCAACGCCGGGCGCCAAAACTTTGAACGGCTGGCGCCGCACGAATTTTAATTTTTTGCAAAAACGGTTGCTATGCCGTGTGTTTGCAGGTCTCAGTGCCAAGGAATTTCTTTACGGTATTTGGTTCTGTTACTGATGACACATCCTACTGTGTAGTATGTAAACTTGCATGAAGTTGCGAAGAAATGAGGATGAATCTGGCCCGCACCCGGGTCGTTTGTTGATCTTTCTATCCCTTTCGGCAGTGAACCGCGCCATGACATCAGCCCAGCTGCGGAACAAACAGTCCGAGGGCTCCTCGCTGAAGGGCAATCAGAAGCTGTTCTTCAGCCTGCAGAAGCGGCGGGGTGGCGAGGACGACATTTTCGTCAACAACGCCCGGATCGTCACCAGAGATCTGGCCTTCACTTCAGAGGATGGCTCAAACCAGGTGAGTAACTGTACCAAATTCAGAAACGGATCAGTCATTCCAATGCTAAATTCTGCATTCAGTAGCGTCGTTGGCGGTCGTGCAAAAGTTTCCCATACGAGGCATACTTAATTTCTTGAATGTTACACCTGCATGGGCGTCTCGCATATCAGGGTGCTTCGCTGGTTTTCCCAGGAAAATAGTGACTGAATGCCCCTTTAAATGTTCTTTTTCTTGTCGACTGGTGTGCAATTATGACGGAATTTTTGGAGCTCTTCCAGCATTTGCATCCCTGACAAATATAAATAATACATAAGATATACATATTGAATATTAGATACCGAGGCTAATTACTTTAAGCATCAAAAGACGCAACGTATCGAATAATACATACTTAACGGTCACGTGAGAATGAGACGAGCAATGAGCAACAAACATTATTATTGCCTGTATCTTTTTTCCAGTATCTTCACATTATCGATGAAGTTCTAGAGCCCACCATTCCCAGCAACAAGAACTCGAGGTACTACAATCCAAACGCACTGAAGTTACTGAGCGACTCCGCCCAATACAGTCTTGGAGAGTCCAGCATCAAGTGAGTTTCCTTTCCAGTCGTTTACAATGTACTTGCAATTTTACATCACTGCATTAACTGCAAATATTTCGAGATGGCATGATTCATTTATTGTCACATCGTTTTTCCTGATACGCCTTTTGGAGGAATTGATTGGTAAACCCGGTAAACCTATGTTTATTGAGGGTGAAATGACAATTTTTGCCTTAACCACGTCAAGACGAAATATTTCAGCAAGATATCATTTCAACGATCAATTTAATTTGCACATGTCAAGCACTGATAGGTGCCAATTGTCCATGTAAACTAATATCTGTGATAAAAACGCCCAATATGCGTTTCAGAAAGTTCTACAAGAAGGTGCAGGATCTGGACAAGACAAGTGTATTCGGAACCACCGAGTTTCACACCTACTTTATACCAGTGGACGCAGGAATGCAGGTGAGACACACCTTTAGGCAGCATACATCCACTGGAATATGCAGAGCTGGTAGGGGAAGGAGGGTGAATTGCGCCACCTTAAGAAAAAACGCTAATTGTAAGAAAACCACTGGAGATGTAAGCATGCACTATTCACCATTTCAAAGAGGAACTCATTAGCTACGATTTAAGAGCCTCCCGATCAATTAAGAATGTTTCGTTTGCTTCTGACAGTTGCTTTTTCAAAAACATGCAAAAGGGCGCATTTACCAACAACTGATGTAAATTGCGCCAAGGGGATGGCGCAATTAGAACCCAATTGCGCCCTATCCTTTAACATGGCTAAGCAAAGGAGACGGAATGCATACACTCCGGCAGTCTAGGTCATTGTGGCTTACTTGAACATGTATTATGTGAATCAAGCTCGATACATAATAAATGTAGATATACTAATTGCGATGTTTTTTTTTTGCGCAGGTAAATAACTTTACTTGTGTCCGGTATGCTTGTGAAGTGGAACGAAAACGTTTGATGTAACCGACTAGATATATATGAACGTATGCGCCTAGACTGTTATATTTTCAATCGTTTCTCTCAAAGTTAATATTTTTTATTGTTTCGACAACTTTTTTTGACATCAGTTCTAACTTTGTATCATAGCTGTCACCTCTCACGCCTGAGTCCATGTTAAAAATGCCGTATTTCGTCAATAACACCGTAAGTTCATAGCCTAAATGGCAGCTACATTATAAGTTCGACGAGAGAAATAATTTTTGGACTGACGATGGCGGGTTGCTCCCCTGCCTGGCATAAAACTCCTTCTTTATCGCAATCAGTTTATGATGCATTCATACTGTCGTGATACAATAGCTACACCATTATTCTATTTGCGCCCCCCTGGCGCAATTGCCATGGGCGCAATTAAAATTGAGGTACTTTTTAATAAAAGCGTAGAAGTTACCATAAAGATACTGAAGGATGTTTACTGTTTCAGTGAAATATATTGAAAAAAGGATTTTTCTTTCCAAATATCACTCTCAAAATCACACATGTATCGCCTATTTTTATAGCCAACGGTTCAAAATGCTGCAAAAAAGTTAAGAAAACGCCGTAATAACTTTGATGGCGTAATGAGCCTTGCTGATTGGCTTCATCAGAGAGCTTGGGCCATAAAAGGAACTATCCAGTGGTGAAAATGATGTTTTCGAAAACAAAATACTAAACATGCCATTGAATTCGTGGGAATGTGGGTGGGCGCAATTAGTTAGGAGGGCGCAATACACCCACTTTCCCCTACATTCGTTGGCTGGTGAGTGGTGAGTTGGGCTTTGTTCTAAATCACTTTAAAACTAGACATCCAGTTATAATATAATTGTTTTGACCTATCCATTAAGTTGTCTTACTTGTAAAACATTTATTGATGAAACCTTTTGTCAAGCAATATACCCTTCAGCCTTACCCCAGCGACGTAATATCACCATTGCGCAGTATAATCGCAAAAATGTCAATGTCCCCTGGTCGAGTGATGGCAATGAGCGTTTATGACGTATCGTTACCATTGATATGCGTCGCCACTCTGTAGCAATTACGTAAGCGGCCGTTTGATGGCCGACAGAATCGATTATCAGTTAATTACTATAGCCTGGACGGCAGTGCGGTAGTGGAAAATGGAACTGTAATGTTGTGGACTGTCCACGCGACTGAATATAACGCTCAACATTATCCGGTTAAGTACGGTTGGGCCAAGTGTTATATGATGCTATTGCACATCATGCTATATGTTTTGATGAGAGAACTGAATTGTTATAATGTATATGAATTGTTAATGTTTGTATATAATGAATTGTTATGAATAAGAGCACTGCTGAATTGTTAAGGTATAGCTTGTAAAAATGCCGTACAGCTAATTGCAATGCAGCCAATCATCATACTTTGCAGACTATGTTGATTGTCCCTAACGTATTATGTAATAGACCTTGCTCGCGCCGTTACCACCAGTCACTCGTTTTGTCCACCCCACAGGGTGTGGAGACGGATGTGGACAGGGTGGTGGTGGACGGACACATGATCCCCAACAAGGTGCTCTTCACGCGCACCATGGGTAACGACAGCTACGAGACGATGGCGTTCGGCGACATGCTGAAGGTGACCGCCCAGTTGCGAGTCCAGCCTTACCCAGAGAAGACGCCCGGCTCCTTCTGTGAGTGCTGCTAGACGGAGAGACAGATATGCACGGGACTGAGAGGGGGTAGGAAGAGAGAGGGAGAGAGAGGGGGAGAGAGAGAGAGAGAGAGAGAGAGAGAGAGAGGGAGAGAGAGAAGATAGAGAGGGTGAAGATGTCAGAACGCTGGCGATTGAGAGGGTGTCAGACATATACAGGGTGTTTCACTAAAAGTGTCAAAAAGTAAATGCTTATTAAAGATATTTTCCGCTTCCCCTTCGAGCTGCCAGCAAACATAGAGACAATTAGCTATGCTATGCGTTACCAATCTCAGCGCAAACCTCACAACCAAGTCCCTCCAGGAAAACACTGTAGCTGTACAAAAAGGGGCTATTGGTATATTCAGCCCAAATGAACACGACACAAACATACTAGCAAGTATACATGTCTCAACAGAGACTGCCCTGCCAACGGGCCGCCACCCCTCCCCCCGCGCGGCGCAATGGTGTCCCCACCCAAACTAGAAACCCTGTCGTGTGTGTCCTCCCCCGGAAAAAGTCCTAACTAGAAAAAAACCGGGGGACCTAGTTGGGGAAAAAACCACATTTTGTGGAAAAACCCATCTTTATTTAAGAGTGTGGTGCGTGTAAAAAAAGCCCCAAAAATAGTGGTGGGTGGGTGGGAAACGCAACATTACAGAGCGAGAACACTGCTGACTTGCGTCAGACCGGGCGGCTTAGAACAGAGTGACCGCGCAAATGCACTCAAACCCCGCGCCGTCACCGTCACGTGACACGAGTCGCTCCGCCAATCAGAGGAGGCCGCCGCCTTAGCGGCCTTGCCGCCCGGGGGCGCAGGCGGCCGCCCGCCTGCCGCCGAACGCTGCTCGCAGATGCCGGCCCGGCTCCGGGGCCGACCCAGAGAAGACGCTCGTAGTGTCGCGGAAAAACCGGTTATATCTTGTCATATATAACCGGGCGTATTTTCCGCTTCCCCTTCGAGCTGCCAGCAAACATAGAGACAATTAGCTATGCTATGCGTTACCAATCTCAGCGCAAACCTCACAACCAAGTCCCTCCAGGAAAACACTGTAGCTGTACAAAAAGGGGCTATTGGTATATTCAGCCCAAATGAACACGACACAAACATACTAGCAAGTATACATGTCTCAACCGAGACTGCCCTGCCAACGGGCCGCCACCCCTCCCCCCGCGCGGCGCAATGGTGTCCCCACCCATTCAATACATCCACCCAGACACCAATGCGCCAAAATAAAACACCCCCTTCCCGAGACCAGCAGACCGAATGGGGGATACAAATTAACACAAAAGACCTGTAGTCGCCGCCAGTGTCGAGACCAGCGGCGGAACCCACTCAAATACGTACTTGGTTGAAGGTAGGTAATTATTTCCTCAACCTGGCCCGAAGCTTACCAGAAACGCCACGATCCCTAAAACCTGCCAACATGAATGTGAGCGACACAGCGGTAACCACTGAAGAACAATATTACGGCATTTATACCGAAGCCCTTTCAGCAGGACTAACAACCAGTAGCATTAGCCACTACCGCGATGATAGCCTCCATCAACTAAAGGCCCTCGATATAACCGCCGAAAAAACAACCATCCATGAGTTCTGAGGCATCTGACAACAGAAGCCGTATTTTCCTTTACCTTGAACCCTATGCACCACATGCCTATCAGCGCGACCATTAATTTTCCCAGAACTTTGGAAGGGGTTAGAACAGTATCAACGAAGGTCGTTGACAGCCGCCCAGCAAAAAAGGGGAGGGCTCTCGGCCCGCTCCAGGAATCAGCACTCTAAGCCGCCGTAAGGTTACCCGCGCTACCGGGCGTCCTAGCGGCAGCCACCTCCAAGCAGACAAGCAAGCCGCCCCGAAGCCGTTGTAGAAAAGTACATCCTCGGCAGACTAGACAGCTGCCCCGAGGCCGTTGTAGAATGGGACATCCCCGGGTAGACTAGCGAGCTGCCCCGAGGCCGCTGTAGAAGGAGACACCCCGGGCAGACTAGCGGGCTGTCCCGAGGCCGTTGCAGGAGAGGATACCCCCGGGCAGACTAGCGAGCTGCCCCGCGGGGTCGTTGTGGAAGGGGACACTCTGGGGCAGACTAGCGAGCTGCCCCGAGGCCGTTGTAGAAGGGGGCACCCCAGGCAGACTAGCGAGCTGCCCCGAGGCCGTTGTAGGCGAGGACCCCCCCCCCCCCGGGCAGACTAGCGAGCTGCCTCGGGGTCGTTGTAGAAGGGGATACCCCCGGGGCAGACTAGCGAGCTGCCCCGAGGTCGTTGTAGAAGGGGACACCCCGGGGCAGACTAGCGAGCTGCCCCGGGGTCGTTGTAGAAGGGGACACCCCCCCCCCGGGCAGACTAGCGAGCTGCCCCGGGGTCGTTGTAGAAGGGGACATCCCCGGGCAGACTAGCGAGCTTCACCCGGGACTTGCAGAATTGGGCATCCCAAGATTCTCCGAATGTTCAAGGCAATTACCCGACCTGAATACCAAAAATACCCGTTTTTGAAATCTGATAGTATCCGCATCACCCGCCACGGGCAACAAGCTTGCCTTTCCGCGAAGCTCCGGATTTATCAGGGACCAAATGACCGGCATACAGACAACCCCTACGCTGTAAACAGGCCAATATGGGTTTAAAGGTTGCCGTTGCTTCCTAGCTAGACACGTTTTGGAGGTGTTTACTGCCTCCAAACGCAGAGCTGGCTCAATGTCACCCATAGAAGGTACAGTAACTCACCCACCAACCAACCAGGCAGGTCCTGAGTGACGTGAACCCTGATGCTGGCGAGGGGTACCCCGTACCAGTGCTCCAAAGTTTGTTGATTCAGGTGGGAAACGACATCCAAATGAAAATCATTTTTCACTCGCCTCCATTATTTAAGCCCATTTTCCACTCCCAATTTTGCCAAGAAAAAGCATTTGCATGGACCGATAGCCATTTTACTTCCCACATACCAGCCTTGTATTAAATTTTGCTGTACATTCTTTTTCCACTCTTTAGGCCTTATCTGACCATCAATTTTCCACCCTTTTCCCTTATTTGGTGAGTAATTTTCATAGACCCGGGAAACAGGGGGGGGCAGCGGGGGCGCTTGCCCCCCCCCCAACCTGAGAGCCGAGGGGGCGGCGCCCCCTCAACATTGAGGCAGCGAGAAAGGATCTTCCCTCCCTTTTCCTGACTTCGTTTCCTTTATGTATCTAAACATAAGCACACGGCCATTTCCTTGCCATCTGAATGGTTTCTGCTGTTACAGTGTCGATTTGACATCTGCTGTTGTCATCCCGCTCTTGTTTGGGCCTGGCCTTGGCCATAAGTTTGGCAGGCCAGCTTTTACATTGGACCATTTTGAGTCAACCTTGAGAAATACCTAACGTACAACTGTGGTTAAATCGTTGCTATAGGTATGACAGTTTACCCGCTCCGGGTGTAAGGGAGGGGTGTGGGGCAATGAGTGCACTGACGTGGTGCCCTTGGAAGGCCGGTATGGGATTAAAAGCTCAGCGACACTAAGCGCTTGTATGGTGCCTTCGGATATCGTTAGCATCCTCAGAATCACCGGCGTAGGGCCCTCAGAGCCGCCGGTAAGGGGCCTTTAGAGGCACTGGTGTGGGAATGTCATGCAGGTGCCGGTGTGGGCGCTCAGAGGTGCTAGTGTGATTCTCTCAGAGGCGCCGGTGAGGGTCCTTACAGGCGTTGCTGTGGGCCCTCATAGACGCTGGTGTGGAGCCGTTACAGACGGGTGTGGGGCCTGAGCTGCGGACGCGAACCCTCTACAAGCCGGCAGGGGGTTCTCAGTGACCGGCAAGAGGCCCTTAGGCCAGCAGAAGAAGTTCTGCGGGGTCCTTAGAGACCGGCATGGTACTATCAGACGCCGGTGGGGCCCTGAGAGTCACCGGACCGGCGTGGGGCCCTCAGAAGTCACCAGTGGGTGGCCTTTAGATGCGCCGGTGTTGGGTAGGGATTCGGGTCCCCACTCAGAGTCGCCGATATAGGGCATTAATAGGCACTAGTGTAGGCACTCAGAATTGGGGGTGTGAAACCTTCAGAGACACCGGTGTGGGCCCCCATAGGCGCCGACGAGGGCCCCCACAGTTGCCGTTATAGGGCTCTCAGAAAAATAATTGTGGGACCATCACAGGCGGGAAATGCCCCTAGAACTGGGCCCTCATAGGCCGGTAAGAACTTTCAGAGGCCAGTAAGGGGCCTGTGGAGACCACTGAAGGGCCCTTAAAAGGCACAAGAGGCCCTCAGAATCCGGCGTGGGGCCCTTAAAGAGATCTTAGTGTGGCAATTTAGGGTCCATGAGGTGCTCTAATGAGCCCCATGGGGCCCTTCGATATGGCCATTGTTAACCACCAGTGGTCAAATGGCGCCGCAGGGCCCCTCGGACCCGAGGCTCCCTTTGAACCCGATGGGGAGGTGGGGTACGTGTCCCCTTAGACCCCTAGCTACGCCACCGTTTCATATGCATCATGTCAGGTATTTTATATGCTCGCCCCCCTTGAAAATCGTTCCCGGGCCCCTAGGAATTTTCCTTTGACACCCAAGCCAAAATACAATTTTGGGACACTGAGGGGAACTCCCAGTCCTAACAACGCATACTGACTTACTTCATTTTAGCTATTAATGATAGTAACTGACCTGTATGTTCGATGTTCATTCGCTGTTTTTGCAGGAGAAAGGTCATATTATATTCTATAGCGACAAGTAGAAATAATTTGCTAAGAAATAGACCGCTTTGAAGATAGTTACAGACGATTTAAAAACCCTCAGCAGCAGCAGCAGCAGCAGCAGCAAACCAATGTTGAAAACACGTCTAACGTTAGAGTTGACAAGATTTCATTTTTTCTCTTCGGGCTTCGCCTAACGATTCTATCACAATGTTATTACTATCTTAGCATCTTACTTTCCACCAGCATTGCCCTTATGTCCCTATTGGTGGAACCAGATATCCCCTCAAAAATGCCGATATCGCCATGCCCAAGCGTTCACTATCCACCCTATCGGGTCC